CTAATTATAGTACACTACTTGGAAACACTCTCTTCAAAAAAAAAATGCTTTCGTTTTGGAAAATGGAATGCAAAGCCTACATGTAAATCCCTAATAAATTTATATGAAAATTTTAATTGTGAATCAGGTTAAATATTTAATGGGTATAAATTCAAACCACTGGACACTAACAGCTTTCCTACAAAATTGCATGCTTTGACAGTCATAGGTTACATCAATTTATTGATACAGCCATAGTGAAATTTGCTTAACTTTTTAAAGCTGAGAAAATGTTGAATTAGACCTTTAGAATGATAGCTTACATTTATTTAGCACTTTTTAAAAAGAATTTTTATTCCCTCATCTGTTTCTGTAGCTTCATCCTATTTTAAAGGGCTATACATAAAATTAATTATCATTCAACAATCATTTCTTGAGTTCATTTTAGGAGCAATTTCTGTGATAGAGATATAAAGATACATTCCTTACATTCAAGGTGCTTAGAATCTAGTAAGGGATATAAACCATGTGTATGTATATCTGTATGTGTACATGTGCATATGTATGTATGTGTATATATATATATATATATATATACACATACATACATACAATTTACATATCTGTTTATGTGGTTTATATGTCATAATTATTTATATTTAAGTGTTGTATATTTACATATTTGTGCACACATATCTTTATTTATAGGTATAAGTGTGTACACTGAGTGATATATGCCTAAGGGGAAGAGCACAAAATGCTATCACATTACATGAAATCAGTATTAATAATTATTACTAATAGATAAATCAAACAACAAGCATTTATTAAACACCTATTATCTTAGGGATACGGTGCAAAGTATTTGTGATTCAAAAGATAAAAATGAAACATTTGGGCCCTGCCTTTAAGAGGACATTTATATGGCACATACTTTTCATATTCTATCTCACTTGATCTTCCCAAAGACCCCTATGACATAGATAAAGATGGTGATCGGTCTTGTGATGTCACTGGCATAAAAAAATCTAGATGAGTGAATTCCTTCTACCAGTGAAGGTTGGTACTTTCTTTGCAATTTAAGAGATTTGTGTGTCCTGAAACTTTGCTAAAGTTGTTAATTATTTGAAGTAGTTTTTTAGTTGATTCTCTAAGTATACCATCATATCATCTGCAAAGAGTGATAGTTTTGTTTCCTCATTGTCTATTCTAATTCTTTTTCTTCTCTTATTGCTGTAACTAACATTTATAGTACAATACTGAATAATAGAGGTAATAATGAACATCCTTGTTTCACCCCTGATCATATTGGGAAGGCTTCTAGCTTATAACTCATTACAGATAATGCTCGCTGATGGCTTTAGATAAATATTACTTATCATTTTAAGGTAGGGTCCATTTATTCCTATACTTGAGGGCTAGTGTGTTGCTCACCATTACAGAACTAGCATGACAGAGGCAAGACCTTTTTGTGAACAAGGGGAGGTACATAATGCAACTGTCATTATTTCCATTTTCACAGATTAGAAAGCTAAGATTCAAAAAAGCTTAGTGGCTTGCCCAAGGCCACACAACTACTAAATGACCATATGGACTGGAATCCAAATATTCTGATTCCAAGTCCAGTATCTACCGCACTGTACCACTTCTCAAATTAGTCAAGAATACATTCTTAGACTTTCTTCACTCAGAAATCTCACTTCCCTCTGCCAAGTTAGTTTATATCTCTCTTCATAAAATTCTTTCAAAAAAAGAAAAAAAGGTCTAGAAATACTATCCTCTTTGGATTATAGGAAGGAGAGGGATGGATATGTTGAACACTTAAATTGAAGGCAAACTTACAGGTTTGAACATATCTCTATACTCCTTCAATATTCATTATCCCATTCCCACTCCTACCAGACTTCAAATTATCAAAGGAAGTCATACAATCATAGATCTAGGAAACAAAGATTATTAATACAACATGCCCCCCCATTTTACAGATGAGAGACCTGAGGCCCAGGGAGGTTACACAAGAAGTTAACAGCAGGACAGGGATTGGAAATAAAGTCATGTGACCCCCAAGGTCAGGATTCTTTCCCCAGTATTATAATGCACAGGCAGTGGAAATGGTGAGAGTAAAATCTTGAAATGCTGTCAATCAGGCATGCATCCTGCTATAATGGCTCCTAGAATAAGAACACACACCTGGAAGATAAAACTTTTTGCTTTATCCTTTTTTTTACCCCTTCACTGTGCTTACCATTGATTAAAAAGGAAAAAAATATCAACACACACTTGATTTAGTAGAGCCAAATGCCTCATTAAAGGTATCTGATGAAGTTTCACCTACGCATATTTCCAAATTATACAAGAATCCTGGAAAGATATGACAGACATAATATTATCTAAGGACCCATTGGTCATTAATATCAAGCAAGGCATAAAGCAGTGATAATATGTTTCCCAAACTTGCCTACCACTGTCAAGGAAGAGATGCAGAGCAGAGTCCAAGTTGAAGAGTGATTCCTTGTAGATTGTGAGGTCTTCCAAGTGTTCTTATTTGCAGATGACATTGTGCTGATTGTATGAAGGTCAGAACATTTCAGAGCCCCTTAAATGTGACCCATAATAACTAAGAAGAGTTTGGTCTATCCACACAGGAAAAACCAAATGGATGAAGAATGCCTATTGTCCAGACTATGATGAGCAATTGGATGAACAACTTATAGAATTCGTCCATCAGTATGTAGCTTGAACAGACGCTGCAAATGTATGACGAACTGGGCCCAGAACTGAACAGGAGTAAAAGAGTGGGCTGACTTGCCTTAGGGACTTGTAGTTATTTTGTTGTTGTTTCTTCCCAAAACAAAAGGCTATTCTTTTTTTTTCTTTCGTATCTGTATTCTTTCAGTGTTGTATGACTATGAGTCATGGTGCCCTGTAGTCTCTGAAGAACTAAATTTGACAACCAGCCAAATGACAACAGATACAAGAAGATCATGAGCAGGCTGAAACAAATTATAATGAAAAATTATTTAGGAGAAGCAGTGTTAAGTATGTCATCAAGAAATGTATAATTAAAAAGATGGGTTGGTGAAAGGAAGGGATAACCAATGGGTATACCATAGGTCCTGTTAATAGCCTTTTAATGTCAAGAGAATAAAAGAAAGGCACACAATTGTTTGGACATACCATCTATGGTAAACTAAACTATGGAAGGACAGTGTCAAGAATTATGCAACATAGGTTGGCATAGATGGTAATGGTAATAACATCATCTACCCATATACAGACAAGGCTAATTAGTCCTAAAAAGGCAATAAAACCTTCCCTAATTGGTACAGGGAATTAAAGAAGGCTTGAACTGTTTGCTGCTGCAGGTGTCTATTCACCTAAGTATAAAAGCGTAGCATAAAAGGAATCAGGGGCTTTTGAGGTTTGACATACCTTGCTGACCCTGCCATGCCATTGTAGCAAATGAACAGGAAAGGAGAAAACTGGAATCTTATGAACCAATGCTACATACTTGCTGAGTATTCTTCTTTCCATTCAACAGTTAGGTCCCAATTAGTTCAAATAATGAATTCCTTTAAGAGTCTAGTTCAAATAATGAATCCCCTGAAATGTCTGCACTATTCAAATTCGAATTTCATATTTCCATTGGGCTGAAACCAATGAACATATTTTACATAATTATAACTTTAAATATAGTATAATTTAATCAGGACTTAACTGTACTGTTAACTAAACCCATTAAATTAAATGTCTGATGATCTACAAGTGGTTCATTCCAATCCCAAACCTGAACCACTAGAGAGGACTGAATCAGGCCTGGCCCAGAACAAATGGATCATATCTGTTGTAAACATCATTGAGATCACTTATTCACTCAAATGGAGAAGGTAAAATAGGTTAGAACATGGATGTGGCCCCAAGGCCAAAAGTTTCCTGCCCTGGTTAAAGCCTCAGAATAATTTATTCCCTATATTCCTCTTCTTCTTCTTCTTCTTCTTCTTCTTCTTCTTCTTCTTCTTCTTCTTCTTCTTGGTGAGGCAATTGGGGTTAAGTGACTTGCCCACAGTCACACAGCTAGTGAGTGTCATGTGTCCGAGGCCACATTTGAACTCAGGTTTTCCTGACTTTAGGGCCAGTGCTCTACTCACTGCATCACTAGTTACCCCCTATATTCTTCTATAAGAACTATTTATGACCAAATTTGTTGCCCAAAGAAGTGAAGACATACCTACACATAGCTATTAAAGCTTAAAACTGCATTAAGAGTTTTGGGACCCCAAAAATATATTAATAATAAAAAGCACCAATAGGTGTTATTGAACTTTAAAATCAACAGATGTTAACAAATATCAATTTTAAATCTGCATAGTTCAATGCCCTTTAAGAGCATAAAGTAATAACATACCCTTAATCAGCTAAATAATACTAGCCAATAGTCAAATCAAATCAACTGCTATTTATTGAGTACCTTCTACGCACAAAGCATTTTGATTATGAACTAGCTATGTATAATGTTTAACTAAAAATAAGTTTTCTCCAATATGATCTCATGGGAAGAGCTCTGGATTTGGAAACAGAATGCCTAGCCTCCAATTGCCACTCTGCTCCTTGCTACAGGAATGATCTTGGACAATTTGCTTTTTAGCCTCTCTTGGGACTCAGTTTCCATATCTTTAATTTGAGCTGCGAAACTAGGTAAACTCTAAGGTCTCTAAACCTATGATGCTATCATCTTTCCCTCAAATATCTATTTTCTATTAAATTATTTTATCAGATATTGATAGTAGTATATTAGCAAATCCTTTGGGGTTTAGCACTGAAATAAAAGTTAATCATCTGCATAACCAATACTAAACTATATTGCACTTTTATTCTTTAATATAATTATGTGCATTAAAATTTTGAAAGAACTATTTTATCTTCTGTATTTGGTAACTCGTATTTAGAGACCTGATGTTCTGGCATCAACTTTAAAAAAAAGGTCATTTAAAAAATTTGAGAAATACCCGAGTCCTATAAAGCGAGAAAAGTTAGTATTTAGTTGCTTAAAAAAGGATAACAAATTGGTGCCTTCGACATGTTTCTTGCAGGGATTCTTCATATTAGAACTTTTCCCAGAGATGGCGTTTGACTTTGGGGAAAAGAGGAGGGTCAGGGAAGGGAAAAGTGAGAAAACTTGTGAGATGCCTCCCGCGTTCACACTTTAGTATACATTCATAAACGTTGTATCTGACTGGCTAGATCTAAAACCCCTTTAACCCCACACCTTTCTGGCTCTCAGTTCTCACTCCAGGGCGGGATAGCACCACTGGCCACAGTTAGCTTCACTCCTAATGGAAAAGGGGGCGGATCTGTTGCCCAAGTCCCCCTCTATTGGCTGAACCCTCCGGGACTGGCTGGGTTTTCTGGCTCTTCATTGGACCGATTTGCCCCCTCTCCGCTGAGCTAATTGGTGGATCGGGGGAGGGGGGTGGAGGAGCTAGAAAGAGGGGGCTGGGGGGGGTGGAATTCCCCACTTAGATTTGTTGCCGGCGGTCTAGTTGTTGGTTGCTGAGAGGAGCGCTCAGCTTAGCGGATCAGGGCTGAGGTTGGAGGCAGGGGAGAGGGAGGAGGAGGAGCCGGCAGCTGTGTTCGCCTGGGAGGAGTGCCTTGGTCCGGGGTCCTGGGTAAAGAACAGCTCCTAGAAAGGGGAGGTAAAGGAGCCTGACGAACAAGTCACCTGCAGTGTGTCCTAAGAGGCTGATTCTGTGCTTTTCCCTTTCTACTGGTGCGGCTCCTAGGCATCATTTGTCAGCGCTCCTCCTCCTGCTCTTCTTCCTCTCTCCTCTCTCCTCCTCCCTCTCCTCTTCTCCTCCTCTTCCTCCTCTCCCCCTCCTTCTCCTCCTCTCCTCCTGCTCTCGCTGCTGCTGCTTCCCTCGCTGCTGCTCTCACTGCTGCTGCTGCCCTCGCTGCTGCTGCTGCTGCCCTTGCTGCTCCTGCCCTCGCTGCTGTTGCTGCTACCCCTGCCAGGGGCCCGGGTTTCGCAGGAGAGCTAAGCAAAGCAAAGCCAACACCGGCCGAAGGAAGAAGGATCCGGAGCTGCAGAACCGCTCGGCTGTCAGGCTGGAAGCGGAACCGGTCCAAGGAAAGGGAGAGACACACAAAGAATGTGGTGAGAGGAGAAGGAGGAGTAAAGGAGTCGGGGGGAGGGGGCAGAGGAGGGAGGATTGGAAGAAGCCAAAAAAAAAAAAAGACGGCAACTGCAAATGCTCGGCTGCATTCTCCCTTCTCCTCTTCTCTTTCTCCTGCTGTCGCTGCCTCCGTTGAACATGCTTTCATTCGAGACAATACCCAGCCGGACAGTCAGTCCGTCCCGGGCACAGCGAGCGTCTTGTTTCAGCGGATGCACTTCTTTTAAACAGGGGAATAGTTGCTCTCCTCCCTCTGGCCCTCACTGTGTGTGTGTGTGTGTGTGTGTGTGTGTGTGTGTGTGTGTGTGTGTGTGTGAGACAGAGAGAGAGAGAGAGAGAGAGAGAGAGAGAGAGAGAGAGAGAGAGAGCAAGGAGGAGGAGGAGGAGGAGAGGAGAGATAAGCATCGGTCTTCTTCGGGACCTAAAGTCTAAGCGCCCGGAGGAGGGGGCGCAGTTAGCTCTTCCCTCCCCCTACCCCCACCCTAGCAGCGTCCCAGACGCTGAGTTCTGCCCCTCAGATCTCTCAGGCCACTGCTAGGGAGATCTATCGGGGGCTGGAGTAGGGGATAGAAGGAAAACAGGCCTGGAGGCAAGGGTGAAGAGCCCCTATCTTTCCTCTCGGACTTCCCGAGGGTCCTAGGAAACTTTGCTGGAACGAAAAGACAAACTTTGATTTCCGCGCTGACGATCCCTGCCCTGCTACTACCCTAAGCCGACGGCCTTCTCCCTTTTCCTGCTGCTACCACTTTCTCTAGTTTTTTCTTTCTTTTTTATTCTCTTTTTCCCTTTTCTTACTTCATTTCATCTCCCGGTCCCCTCCGCCACCGGTCCAAGCGAGGGAATGCAGTTAGTGCAAGCCACGGAACCCCCTACCCCCTACCTCCCGATCTCCTCGCGATCAGTGCGTGGCTGCCCTCTCCCTTGGCATATGTTCACCCCAAAAGGCCTTGAGCCTCATCGCCGGACCGAACCGATTCCCCGGGACTGGTGCCCCTTTGAACTAGGGGAAAAGTTTCCTCAAGCCTTGGAGGGGCTGGTGTCTGCCCACAGGCTGGGGACACTGCCGGGCGACTCTTGGCTACTTCTGTGTCAGCACAACTCCTCAGACGCCTGCAAACTGAGGTGCATCTGCATCTTCGGGATGTTCACGGTCTAGGAGCCGGCAAGAAGATGCCGCCAAGAGCAACTCGGTACCCAAGCCAGTGAGTATAGCATTGCAGCCTGATTGGTTCCCGTGGGTTTGGTTCTTAGGTTTGATAAAGATAAGAGGGAGCCCGTGAGAGGCCACTGACTAACGTCATCCTCTCTTTTGGTCGACCCCTTGCATTCCTGCCCGGCCCCCCCCCAAAAACCCTGGGAGTTCTATCCTGAGTATCTTTGTTTGAGTAGGTAGGATTATAAAGTCCTAGATTATCATCTAGGCCAATTCTCTCATTTCATAAACGTGGAAACTGAGGCCCAAAGAGATTAAGACATGCACAAGGTCATTCAGGCAGTAAAGGACAGAATTGGTGTTTTGTATTACAATTTATAGAATAGTCGGTAGAGCAGTAATCTGAGACCAGTACTGTATTTGTCCCTAACAAGCGATGTGACCTTGAACAAATTATTTAAGCCCTCTGAGACTCAGTCTTTAAAATGAGAGTGTTAGACTAAAAGATATCTGAGCTCTAGCTTTCTGTGATTTTTAAGAAATGCTGGTTTATTTTAATTCAGGGGTCTTAGAACTATGCCTAGCTTTTTATCTAGATAAGATAAACGTTTCCATAAAATTTACATATGCCTGTGTTGACCTTTCAGTCTATTAGAAGCAACTCTTAAGTTACTTTTGTTATTACTGCTGCAGAGTTGGTCTTGAGAGGGGATAAAAAGTTACTACTTCTGCAAAATGTGCCAGAAATGCTTGACAAAGTCAAGAGAGATAGGAACTGTAAAAAAAAAAAAAAAAGAAACAGGGATAGGTCAGAGAAAATGGAGAAGTTGGGGGTGGATAGGGAGACAGCTATGTAAAGTGCCATTAAAAATCTCTTCTGCCTGCCCTCAGTTTAGAAAAGAGTATACAGGTAGCTTTTCCACCCAGGTTGCTCTTGTTTGCTGAGAACTTTTGAAAGCCTTCACTCTCTTTGAAAAAGAAAATGTCACATCCAAATTAATCTTAAGCTGGTATCTTTCTTGCAGGAATAGTAACCTATAATGAAGTATATCTGTATCCGAGTTTAATGAAGGTTTGAAAATAGCTCCTTATTTTCAGTGTCATCTATGCTAACGCAACACAACTTTATAAAGGTCTTCCTTAAGATGTGCTCATGAAATGACAGATGTATAATTTTAATAAATTTGTAATGGTATACATTAACATCTGGAACAACACTGACATTATCACAGGTTAAGTGGCAATACAAGATTGTGCTAACTTTTATTTTAAGCCATAATATATTTTTCTTCACTGAGAGTGTGTGGCAAAAGAGAAATTTCCATAACCAAATGTGTATGTATATATACATGTAAATGTATATATGTATACATATGTGCATATGTATATATGTGTGTATACATATAAAATAAAACAAAATTCTAAGAGTTTATATGTTTTACAGAAACTAAATGGTTATAACCCTTAAATTATAAATTTCAAAGATTTTCTTAAGCTTTCTGAAATTGGTGCTCTTATATAAAAGAGACAGCAAATCAATTACTTATAGGCTATCAAAATCCTGTTTTGCCCACCCTTAAAGAGTATTAAAGTTTTGTTGCAGAGTGATGAGACAGTAAAACAGAAAGGGTTCAGAAAAAGAATTTGGCAGAAGTAATACAGAGATAGAACCTGAAGGGTATGGTCATGTATCCAGGCTTGCTCTGTCCCTTCATAAACCTTCCTTCCTCCCTAAGCCTCAGTTTCCTTATATGTAAAATGAGAGGATTGGACTAGATGACCTCTTAATTCATTTTCAGCTTTGAATCTATGACCCAATGAATGCCTTTCAGTCCAGACAAACACCAAATGGGTAGGAGAAATCTCAAATGGAAAGAATCGTCACTTTGAGGGATAATTGTATTCCTAAGGAGTCTGAGTGAATGACTAGTAAAGGGAAGATAAGCATAAAAGAGAGCACACACTCTCTAAAGTAGAAATCCATGGCTATTTTTAAAAATGGAGACTTCAATGGCACCATAGCCTTAACCAAAAGTAACTATGAAATCTAGAGGGGCCTTTTGAACAACAGCATTCCTAGAACATGTCCTTCATTTCAAGTCTTACAAGACTGTTTCTTCTTTGGAGGGAATAGAGAGGAGAAGAGAGGAATTAGGGGTGTAACTGTAATATTAGGATCCCTCTACAAATATTTTGTGGTATTGCTAAATGAAAATTGTATGGCGGTTAGAACCTTCTCCTCCCACTCTTGTATCCTTGGCTACCTCCCCAAAAGAACCTTTTTCCTTCAACTGCTTATTGGAAGTCTCTACAGGGAGATGGAACTTCCTGCAGAGCGAAGGGTGGAGAAAGGAAGAGAATCTCAGGATATGGTTTCATAGAGGGAGTTCCATGACATCAAAGAGGCATAGACTCACTTCCTGGAGGATCTTTGCCTACAGCTTTTTGCTTCTTTCGCCTCCATACCCTGAAAATGGAGAAATAAGGCCTCCTTAGGTGATCTGTAGGGTTAAAGAGTGTTTGGGAAAGAAAAGGAGGTAGTGCTGAACGGGGCTCTGTCCCTTCCAGAGTCTCAAACACTCACAAATAGAGAGAACCATCCTCTCTGAAGCTGATTTCACAGATGGTAGGATATGTAACTGTATCTACTAATTGTCACTCCTCTTCTTTATATCTGTACATCTTCAACCCCACTGAAGAGCCCTTATACCTCTTTGCCCACAAAATTCTTCAAGATTTCAAAGATCCGTAATTTCACCAGCAAATATACTTGCACTAGTGACAGAAAATAACTCTTCCACATTTAGATGATAATTTTCTATAACAATAGGAGACCAAACAAAACTTATGATCTACCTTCTGGTGATGAATGAATGAATGAAAAAACATGCACTGAACACTTACTATGTGCCACGTACAGTACAAATGCAAACAAGCAAGACAGCTTCTGATCTCAAGGAGCTAACATATGAATAGAAATAGAAAACACATATGGGGAGCTAAAGTTAGAAAGGGGAGGAGAAAGAATGAGGAGAGGTAAAGGTTTTAAGATAGCCAGAAAACAGTGTGGTGGCCTGGTTCTGGGCAAGATGAAGTTAAAAGTTCATCTATTGGAACCTGTAGTTAGGCCAAGTTCTGGTTATAGAAGAAGGAATGCCAGTGTGGTTTAGAGATCTCTAGAAAATGAGTCCACACTTTGCTTGTCCAATTGTCAGAATCAACACCATTCAAAGCCCTTTCAGCCAGTGTTAGCATGAGCTTACACTTTGCTGCTATAATCTTTAAGAATCCTGGGTCAACTCCACACTCCTATACATGAGATTTTAGTGGAGGCTATATAGTGTAGTGGATAGAGAGAACCAGCCTTGAAGTCAGGAAGACCCACCTCTGACACAAATTGACTATGTGGCACTGGGCAAGAATCACTGAAGCTCTGGCTATCATAAGACTAAGTTGTAGAGAAGGTGTCAATCTATATTCCTAGGACTTCTCTCCCCTGAGAATTCCCTATGCATCATGAAATCATAGGTCCATTTTCTATGTCCCAGTCTCTGCACCTACATTATTCCCTACAAACAAACAAAAACATGTGGTGGGATTTGATGTTTTCCACAAACTAAGAGTCATAATTGAAAAAAAAATTGGTCTAGGCCTATGATTGGGATAGGGAGCTCCTTTGGGGAAACTCCTTCTGCCAATATAGGTAAGCAAATACTCTTCCATAATCTTAGAGTTTCAAGGTCAAGGTTAAGTAAAATGCCTAGTCATATAATAAGTGTGTGTCAGACATACTGTCTGAACTCAGGTCTAAAGTTGCCTCTTCTCTACCATGTCGCTGCTTAGATGGCTACATTTTCTTTCTGTCTCTCAGTTTCTCTCTGTATCTCTATCTGTCTCTCTCTGTCTTTCTATCTGGGTTTGTCTCTGCCTGTCTGTCTCATCAAACTTGCTATGGAAAAGGAAGAGAAAGTAAAGGAAAGGAGACTATGAAGGAAATAAGTAGCTCTCAGTATTTTGGGGGAAGAGAGATCACTAAGTGATTACTGTTAAGAGGGAGGTGATTGTTGAAATAAAGAAGGCATAGGAAGTAAGGAAAGCATCATACTAGTTAAGAACCAAAACTCTACCACCACTAAAACCTTCACATCTCAGGTGAAAACTCCCACTCCTCACCCTTTCTTAAATCTTTAATTTGATCTACACTTTTAGAAACACTGAATGAAGATGACTTTCTAAGGTAACTCTGATTTCTGAATCAATCTTAACCCTTATAGTAGTGGGCAAGTTGCGCGTGCGCGCGCATGTCTGTGTGTGTGTGTGTGTGTGTGTGTATTTGTATGTATATATGTGTATAGATATATGTATGTGTGTATATGTATATGCCCTTCTTTCCTCCACATTGCAACAACTAGATGTTGAGATCCGAAGGTGATATACGTGCCCATACACATACATATGTATACACATGTCATGTATATATCCCCTTTGGATCTAGTTGTGGCAATGTCATGGAAAGAAGGGCTTTTATTTCCCTCTTCCCATAGGAAGCAAGGATCATAAATCTAGGACTGCAAGGGACCTTAAAGGCCATCTAATCTAACTTTTTGATTTTTGTAGATGAGGAAACTGAGGCCCAGAGAAGATAACCTTCTTAAGGTTGTACTGGTAGTAAGTGACAGAACTGGGATTTGAATTTAGGTCTTTTGACTTCTAAGTACTTCGGCTTTCTTTTCCTTGCACCATGCTACCTCAAGGAACAAGCATCCAACTGCAAGGTAGCTTCTGGGAGTAGAACCTTCAGGGAAGCCAGTTCTGAGTTTCAGATTCAATAATGTTTGGACTCAGGAAGACACCATAGTAATAACACCCTACCTTTCTACAGTACTTTCTACTTTTCCAAAACACGTGCCTGATGATATTCAGTACACAAAACCCTTGAGTAAGAAGCTGCTTGTTGGTCTCACCTCTCCCAGTCTCTTCTCCTCCATTCTATCCATGTACTACTTACTCCTTGGCTGGTCTTTCTTAAATACTCTCAAAAACCTTTGA